GAGCCGGGGAGGGGCCAACATCAGTGTCAGGGAGGGGCCAACATCAGAGTCAGGGAGGGGCCACCCACCCAAATGTCAGATTGGAGTTTCCATGACATCATAATGATATTTTAGTGGAAGGATTCCAACCTTGGATCTCAGGATCCCTCTTCTACTATGAAGTCTCACTCCTCATGCAGCAGAGGAGGTCTCATCTTCAATGGTATACAATAAAGATCTGACAAAGATGGTACGATGCCCCTGTGATGGCAGATAGGTGGGTGGAGCTGGGAAGTCCGGTGTAAAAATCTTTTTTTTGTGGTAGAAATCTATCTAGAGGCTTCCTGCTGGCAGAACACTATGGCATTGCAGGAGGGATTCCCCCAGCAACACTGACTGTGTTGATGGGGGGGTTGAGCGACTTTCTTTCTTGTAAGCCATTTTTTCAGTGAAAGAAAATTCCCTAATGTTTGGTCTGCCTAACAAATACAGCGGGTAAAATAAGTATTGAATAAGTATTAAACACGTCACCATTTTTCTAGGTAAATATATTTCTAAAGGTGCTATTGACATAAAAAAAGGTATGGAAAGCCAAGATACCAGCTGAAATCTATCAGTAATTAGAAAGCAATCCTGCCCCTTGTTAAAGTAACACAGCGTCATATCGCAAAAAATGGCCTGGTCAGGAAGGAGGGTAAATCCTCTGGAGGGCAAGTGGTTAAGTTGCATGCCCAGTTTTATTGCTTTGCCTTTACATCCACCTGAACTGCAGTGCAATAAGCCGCCTTAATAATTGTTGTGTAGGGATATTGTAATATATATATATATATATATATATATATATATATATATATATATATATATATGTTTTATGTGGTGTATTCTCACGTTATTGACCAAGCCAGAATATGACTGAGCTAGATGTATTTTACACAGCAAAAGAACTCTTTGCTATGTTAATTTTATGCAAGAAAACTTGGGCACTCAGGGGCCGACTTGTTACATTTCAAAGGAGGTAATTTGCAAATTTGCAAGGGTGATAAAATGCAGATAGCTCAGTCAGACTTGAAAGGAGTTGGTCAACATCTACTAAAAGGGGTATTAGGTAAGGTAAATAGCATTCTTCAAAGGGTAACTTGTTTATCTAATTAATAGCAAAAGAATGCAGTTTAGGAAACATCTGGACAACTTTGATTAGAATTATGAATGCAGCTGTCCAAGCCCAAAGGGCATTACCTGTCACCCAGAAGATCAAAGGGGCTACTAAGCTTCTTTTTGGTTACATGTCACAGGAGAAAGGGGTTCTCTGAAGATTTCTAATGATTGCATGAATATTCTAAGTATCCTGTCATTTGCCTTTTCTGTACCTCTGTCTTATGAACTGTCGCTGGAAAAGAACTGTTAGACTAGTTTCTGCGGGAAAAGTACATTTATAAATACACACTGGTCATACGTCCTCCATCATTCTTATGAGACAACAGATTTGTCTTATGAACTGTTTCGGCGTGGACCTCATAATTTAGAAGACAACATGTTGGAGTGGATGAAGTTTTGTGGAACAACCCATCAAATGTATATTTTTCTCTGTCTAGGCCTCAGAAGGAATTCTAGGTGAAAAAAACCTTTCTACCCATCTCTTTTATGGTACATGGGGTCTGGACCTGTGGTAGCCATAGTACGTATTCCATTTAGTTATAACCTGAATTTATTAGTTTAGGTTCAAGTCTGCTACTTCTCCTCGGTTGAACAAAAGCTGATCATTAGAAGCACCCTTGCCAGGGTTAAATGGTCAATTCCATCCATGTTAACTGAAACATCTGGATTAGAGCTTTTGAAAGGTAACATACTTAGTCCAGGTTCACACTTGTGCGGGATTGCTGCCCGCATTTGCATGGTCATGACGGGCCATTTATTTGAATAGGCTGCTCTATGTGCGTTTTAAAAAAAAAAAAAAAATGTTCCTGCACCTTTTTCAAGCTGCAGGGAAATCACGTGGTGTTTTTGACCATGCAATTTCCCTGCGGTTCCCACATCTGCAAACACGCTGCGTGTTGAGATGCTTGGATGCCTAATTAAGAATGAATGGCAGCCCTGCATGTCTTTTAAGAGCAGTGCAAGTTGGCTGCAGGTGGTAGCAGGTGCGGGAACAACTGCAATTCCCCCAACCACCCCTCACAGTGTGAACCGAGCCTTACTGGCTGGGTCACCTGATGAAAATAGAAGAATGAAAGCCTAAAAAAGAAAATGAATGCAGCCATCACTTCTAAGAATTGGCAAACTGCAATATAAAAAATGTTTGCTTTTGAGTTTAATACCGCTTTAAAATATAGCTACAGAATATACAAAAATGTGTGTTCCTGTTTCTATTTTGTACTTTTGCGCATGATGTGACATTTCATAGAACTGGTCTGTTTCAGAATAACTGGAGTGTTTATAAGAAGGGGATATGACACTTCCAGTAAACTGTAACTATATAATTAGGCTGAATATTGATACCAAACCTACATACCTGACCAGTTGTAAAGAATAACTCCGGGAAGCAGTGATCATGTCATACCTAGCCACTTCTTAAAGCTGAAATCCAGGCAAACAGCTGAATACACGGATGAGACACATAAGAAGGACACTAATTTACCTGCCAGAGGATTTGTATTTCGGTCCACACAGCACAGCTCTGTATGGTAGGGGAGAAGACCAGATTCTTTTCTGCTTTCTTTCCACTGCAGTCCAGTCCCCACCTTCGCCCTTTGAGTGGGCAGTGGGTGAAGAAGTAGCAGACTGATGAGCGATCCTCCCTGTCACTCTGCTCCCTTCTCATCCAATCCTGGTGATTGTTGTAAAACAAACAGGACAAAGCGGCTGGGATCAGGGGCGTATTTACCACAAGGCAAACAAGGCACTTGCCTAGGGCGGCATTTTTCAGGTGGGCAGCACCTCCCCCCAGAAGTAGGGATGAAAGAAGGGACACGCTCCCCATGAGAACCAGGTGGCATCCGAGAGAGGCTGCGGGCTGCTTGATGGTGTATGTAGAGCCTGGCTCTCGTTCCCGGGGATGTCCGGAGCTGTGAAGATGAGTGTCTCTCTATTGCCAGAGGGTAGGGGGGTAGTGGAAGGCTCTCCTGGGTGGGAGGCAGGGGTGTTGTTGGTCAATGTCATTCTCTCTCCACGGGAGGGGAAAGGGGGGTTGTGTTGGTTGCTGTCCATGGGGGCAGACGATTGTTGTGTTGCCCTAAATACACCACTGGCTGGGAAATGTCATTTAGCAGCAATTTATACCAATTTAAAAGTTTTTTCTTCTTTGTATCACTTTTTGCTTTAGCACATTGTACACATGCACAACGTCACATGCAGGTTTCTGGCATTCCTTTAGGCTAGCTAGGTTCACACCTATGCAGTTTGCGTTTGATCCGCAGTGCTTTTTGCTATGCGGTTTGTGTTTTTGCACGAGTGTTTTTGATGTGTTTTGCATTTTTTTTTTAACTTGTTGCTGGGCAGAATAAAACAAATCAAAATGCATTAAAATGCATAAAAAATATGTCAAAAATGCATTACAAATGCACTACATGCTTTTCTGCAGCATCTCCATTGAAGGCTATAGAACCAAAAATGCAATATTTTGCTTTTAAAAAAGTCCCTGACTCTTTCCAAAAAAAACGCACCAGATGAAAGCGTGGAGATGTGATCCTGTCCCATAGGAAATCATGTTCAATGGACTGCTCTGCATTTCTGCAAAACGCAACAGAAAACTCATAAGCGTGAACCTAGACTTGGGGTCTATTCCCATCGGCTGCAGTGTTACAACGCAGAGGCTGGTATGCAGTAGAAACGCAGCAGTTCCAATGTGCTGATTGTGGTGCATCGGACTATTCACTCTTTTTTTTCTTTGAACGACCACACAGGGACATTTCATTAAAATTGTTGTAAAGGCTTAAGGTTTCATGCAGTTTCAGAGCACTTGAAGAGTGGCCCCATTCACTTTAATGTAACAGGGTGTACAATTTCTGCTGTTGGCCACAAGGCAAAGCTTTGTGGCCATAGCATGTGTACAGCCTCGGCCACTGCCTTTGTAGCTAAAGGTAGTAGCTAGCAGAGGCAGTAAAAGCACAGCTCACCCCTGGGGTTTTACTACCCTCAACCCTAGTGTGAATGAGCCCTTATGGCAGTGGCAGTGGGGGAGTTTTACACAGACTCCACCAGCCAACTGCTGATGCCCCCCCACCCCCACCCAGGTACCACCAGTTAAAGGGGATGGAGACAGTGAACATATGAATGCTGATCTCCCCTAGCTAGAATTTTTCATCCATTTACATCCATTTTTCATCAGTTTACATCCGTTTTTTCATCCGTTTACATACGTTTTTTGTCTGTTTACATACGTTTTTGTCTGTTTACGTCCGTTTTTCATCCGTTATGCTTTTTTTTTACAGAAGAAAAATAGTGTTAACAAATGCGGACATTAATGGATGTAAACGGATGATCATCCATTTACACCACAGTCACATCAAAGCCGATTTTGAAATTGTGTGACTTACAGTGAAGTCGCACGATTTCAAAATCGGGTGAGCTGCCGATTTCATTGCGATTTGCAAGACATCTGTCACAGATGTCTATGCAAATCGCAACAAAAGTAGTGCATGCGCTACTTTAGAAATCGGTGCGGCTCTGACCACGTTGGAACTGCATCGATATGACCACTGTAATAGCGGACAATAGGGTGCGACTTGGCATACGATTTGCAAGTTACAGGGCATGCAAATCGCATGCCAAGTTGCACCCGATGTGACTGGGGAATTACATCATCTAGTCCATAGAAATACATGGGTGTCCATTTTTCATCTGTAAATGGACAGATGAAAAATGGACATACGGAGTGAAAGAGGCCATAACCACCTTCCGCCCGCCTTATAGTACAAAGATGGGCACAAGGTGGTTCTCTCGTTCTGATAGGACATCATATGACGTCCTACCATTCTCATTGCGCATGCGCGGCTCAAGGAGCGCGCAGCGCGGCGATTGCCGGTGCTCTGTGTCCCTTGGACACAGCGGATCACGGAAAGAGCCGAAGATGTCGGCTCAGTCATGTGATCAGCTGTGTCCAATCACAGCTGATCACATGAAAACACGGAAATGTCGGTTATCGGCATCTCTCTCCTCTCGAGCTGTCACGCTGATAGCTCGAGAGGAGAGGAGAGCCGGTAATTGGCTTTCTGCGGAGGGGACATGTACACTGATCATCAGGGCACTGATGATCAGTGTGCCCTGATGATCAGTGTGAACCCAGAAGTGCCACCTGTCAGTGCTCATCAGTGCCACGTGCCAGTGCCCATCAGTGCCACATCAATGCCACATATCAGTGCATACCAGTGCACATCAATGCCACATATCCGTGTCCATATGAGCTGCCTTTCAATGTCACCGATCAGTGCCAGTCAGTGCCACCTATCAATGCCAATCAGTGCCACCTATCAGTGCTGCCAATCAGTGCCACCTACCAGTGCCAGTCAGTGCCGCCTATCAGTGCCATATATCAGTGTCATGTATCAGTGCTGCCTTTCAGTGCCCATCAGTGATGCCTGTCAATGCCCATCAATGCAACATACCAGTGCCTCCTCATCAGTGCCACCTATCAGTGTCCATCAGTGCAGCCTATCAGTGACCATCACTGCAGCCTCATTAGCACACATCAGTGAAGGTGAAAAATCACTTATTTACAAAATTGTATAACAAAAACTAAGAAAAAATGTTTTTTTTTTGTTTGTTTAAAAAAAAATAAAAATCCCAGAGGTGATTAAATACCACCAAAAGAAAGCTCTATCTGTCTCAAAAAAATGAAAAATTTCATATGGGTACAGTGTTGCATGACCGCGCAATTGTCATTCAAAGTGTGACAGCGCTGAAAGATGGAAATTGGCCTAGGCAGGAAGGGGGTATAAGTGCCATGTAGGCTAGTGGTTAAAGCAAAGCAAAATGACTTTATTCCCAGGAACGAATTTGGGGGGGGGGGGGGGGTTGGCACCGTGAAGGAGGTTTTAACTAATGGATATAAATAACATGAAATGCACTTTTATCATGAACGTTTTCTGGGAACCATAGAGATGTTAACCATGTTTTACAAATACAACCTTATGCACAGCAAGTCTATTTTGGGCCTTCCTCATCAGTAACACGAGTGTTTATTTTTAGGAAATTGCTTAATAAGAGAATTTTTCTCCCAAATCAAGTATTTATTTGTTTATAGAAGTAATTGAAGGAACACGACCCACAGAGGAAGACATATGACTTCCAGACAATACAGGCAAGGAAAAAACAAAAACAAAATATGGGAATGGAAGCAAATCAGTCTAACAAAAATGATGTAAGTAGCTGGATTAAAGTGACCCGACAGGGACCTGCACAAAATAACACAAGAACTACCATCTGAAGAATGTACTATTATACTGCAGCCCTACTAGAACTCGTTGCTAGAAAGGTTTATGTCAACTTAGTCTTTGTAGCTTCTCTGTAAATAGTGGAGTAGTGTGTGATTAGTTTTGGCTGCTCTGGATCTCCCAGACTGGAGGCTCAACCACTTCTCCCTGCCTTCTAGTAGGACTCCTAGAACATAGTGGGCTGAAAGAGGCAGACCTTGAGCTTGAATATTTATGGGACTCTAACCAATCCCTGACGAGGTGAGCCCAGAAGGTGGAGAGAAAGCCCATAAATAGCCTGAGACCTGGAGCAGCAGGGTTTTTATCCTGGAGGAGGAGATCCCATCGTGAAGGGCTGCTACCCTTCTGGGCAGGTTAGCTAAAGCCTACAGAAAGTTCACCAAGGTGCCAGCTCGGGGGGAGCTTGGGCCTGTCTGTGAAAGTTCATCGAGGTCCCAGCTCAGCGGGAGCTCGGGGAACCTATTACAGAGAGCTCATCGAGATCCCTGTTCAGTGGGAGCTGGGAGGCCTATTTTTTCTGGAAGCAATTTTGAGCCAAGGGGAAAGGTATTTGTAATGTTTTTTTTTTTTTTATATGTATGCACAAATGTTTTGCCTTTCATTTCTATTTTAAACTGAATGAGTTGTTTAACAAGGTGAGGGTTTAGATATACTTTTATTTTTCCAATGTCTAGGACTACAGAGGTGAATAAAGTTTTAAATGGTTTCACATTAGTGAAATACACCTCCACCCAGTGGTGGATTAGGGGAACCTCAGGACTCACATATTAGCAAAGCATGGAGATATTATTATTATTATTATTCAGTATTTATAAAGCGCCAATAGTTCGCTCAGCGCTGTACATTACAAAGGGGGACAGAACATGTGACAGAACAATACCAATACAATGCAAAACATTAGGGGATCGAGGGCCCTGCTTTTTCGAGCTTACAATCTAGGAGGTACCCCATATATTTACCTTTTCAGAGCATATCGCCTATACAGCCCCTTGAACGGATTAAAAATAAACACTAATTACAAACACTGTATTAAGTATCAATACTATATTGAAACATCTATTAAACTACATAAATAAATAAAAGATGTAATTTGGGTGGAGGAAATCATTTTGGTGCATCCAAAATTGCGTCAAACTGCCTTTAAGTCAGTTTATGAGGAGGAAAATATTTTGCAGGACTGCTAGGCAAATTTTATTGTCTGTCAATTAATGGTATGGGGAACATGTGCCAAAGCTAAAAAAATTAAAATAATTACAAAAGAAAAAACATGCAGCAGAGGGAGAGTCCTTTTTTCTACATATTCAAGGGTAATATGGAAAATACGCAAACCCTTTAAGGAGAGAAGAAAAGTTGAGGGTTTTTCTTTCTACAAATCATACTTATCTAGGTGGATGCAGGATTGCTGCGATGCTGCATTTGTCCCTCCCCTCCCCCCCCGCTGGCTGGCTCTAAGACTGACTGAGCAATCAAAGACCACTGATCGCTCAGTTCTCAGTGCTGCCCCCCTCTCCCAGTGCTCCAGTGATGAGGGGAAGAAGTGTCTGGCTTAGGCTCTCTGAGAGCTTGAGCCAGGTACCACTCCAGACATCTGGGTAGATCCCGACTTCAGGATCTGGATCTTTCCCCAGCCTAGACCGGCTAAATGACATCAGCTGACAGCAGATTTTAAACAAACTAAAAAATCCCAGCGCCAATCAAAGAAAGTATACAATTATGCAGCTGTGCACCAGTGAAAACCACCAATAATGAATAACACAAAAAATAGCGCAAAAATTAAATAAATAAAAAATAATCCCAAATAAATAAATGTCCGTGCAAAAATATATATATATAATATTTCAAACAATGCCCCACCCATGGGGCGTTCTCAAGAGAACCTTGAGAACGCCCTGTGGGTGGGGCGAAACGCGTTGACGCACTTCCGGTCTGCCGTCATCTTGGCCTACGTCACTTCCAGTATTTGGAACGCACGCCGACTTTTGCGGTTCAAGAGGCCATTTTAGAGGTTAATGTTCCACCTCTGAGGAAGTGCGTGCGCACGAAACGCGTCAGATGGGACCCTAGGACACCGTTGACATCAAGCCGCCGGTGCCACGAGGAGGCCCGGCGGCCATTTTGACATCTAATAGGGTCAGTGTGTTTGCCCATACTTGGCTATTCTCCTGTATTCTGCACCTATGCTGCTTTCAAATAAAGTTTTAAATTACTACACTATGAGTGCTCCCCTGTGTCTCCTGTGAGGAGCTTTTCCATCCTTGCAGCCCTTGGGATTCCTGTGCCAGTTCCTTGTGGAGGCTCATCTGGATCGTTATTGCTCTGACCTGCTGGATCATTTCCCACCACATGAGGGCGTAGGATCTCCATTCTTCCAAGCCATATACCTGACCAGCCTTCAGTGGAGAAAGGATCTTCAGGATATATACACATATGCGCATTACCCATGCGCGTTCTGGTTAGTGCAAAATTCTACCATTTACACTGGGAAACAAGGAACACTGTTGTTTTACTGGACTGTGTTTATTATTATTTCTAATATCATTTTAAGAGCGCTGCATTTCTTCTGTTTATGTATTTTGGGACTTTTTATGTGTTTTCCTATATGTTCAGCTGCTTGCATTTTTTATGAGCGCTTACTATTTATCACCATTATTTCTATGTAATGCAAGAGCCTGCCTAATTGGATACAATTGAAAATGTTGTTTAGGTTTGACCTCATATTATATGGTTTTTGGTAAATCTAAACCAAAAATCTCAATAAAATTGTATAATGTATGGGCAGCCTAACTCTTGCTGTGCTTGTGATTACAGGAATACCTTCTTCTACCTGCTAATTGTAGGGTTTATTAAACCTGATAAGCAACAAAGCATCTACATAGGATATGTTCCTAATGCACCAAGCACATGTGTATAACCCGGGATCCCTGCTTGTAATTTTCAATGTATCCTAAAAGCAGCAAGAGAGGGGGACACCCAGGTTTCCATTCAGGCTGTACAGAAAAGAAATATACCCCCTCAATGGTGGGGAATGTTTTCTTCCAGACATTTGTAACAATAAAAACCCTTGAAACAAAAAGAAGGTGCAAATTAATTTATAAATGGCAAATACCTGGTCGTAAAATAACGAATATTCTCTTTACAGATTTGCTGCTTGGACGTTTGTGCTGATTTACTAATGCAATTAAGAATCTGCGAATTTAAAACTGTGTGAATATTCACTTCAGTTATCCAGTCACGTGAAGTACATCTGCAGAAGTGAACAAGGATTTGCTTTTCTTATGACTGGAGAACTGAAGTGAATATTTACACATTTTTTTTTATCAGCTTCTTTAGTAAATCAGCATCACCATTACAATACTAGTAGTTGGTATACCACAATATGGTCACTAGATGGCAGCAAGTTGTTACCTATGTTCTCAGTCCATTCCTGCAACACACTGACTGCATATATACAGCATGATCACTCTGCCAGTGACAGGTACTCTTCACAAATGCCGCATACATGTGAACCGGGGCTTAATGGTTAGCACTCCCACCTGGCAGTACTAGGATCGCTGGTTCAAATCCCAATCATGGCATCAGCTGTCTCAAGTTTACATGTTCTCCCTGTGCCTGTGTGGGTTTCCTCCAGGTACTCTGGTTTCCTCCCACACTCCAAAGACATGCTGGGAGGTTAATTGGATCCTTTCCTTGCCCCAGTATGTGTATGTATGGATGTGTGGTCAGGACCTTAGATTGTACACCCTTTGATGGTTAGGGACCAGGGGCAGACTGACAACTCATGGGGCCCCCGGGCAATAGGGATTCATGGGACCCCTGTGTCCTTGCCCAAACTCAAAAAAGCCTATGAAAAAGGTACCACGGGCATCTCATGGGGCCCCCTACTGACCCCGGGCCCTCAGGCAGTGCCCGAGTTTCCAAATAGTCAGTCCGCCCCTGTTATGGACTGATGTGAATATACAATATATATGTAAAGCACTGTGTAAATTGATGTCACTATACAAGTAGCTAAAGCTGCAAAATGCTTGCTATCCTATTCAAATGTGCTAATTGCCTGGCTGTCACACTTTGAGTCGATGAACATAGGACAAAAATGGCAACCACACA